GGTGAGTTTTTCTATATTTCTCATTAGTTTGAGTACAGTAAAAGTTTTGTCAGTAAGATCAGAAGTGATACATTGAGATTCTGTGTAGTTATACCATGGTGTTATAACAGGAACACTTTTACAAAAATAATCACTGTAGTATGATTGAATGAGCTAAAATATGAAACAAATAAACATAATCAAACACTGAATAAATAAATGTAATCAAACACTGTATTAATAAACATAATCAAACACTGTATGAATAAACATAATCAAACACTGTATGAAAAAACACAATCAAACACTGTATGAACAAACATAATCAAACACTGTATGAACAAACATAATCAAACACTGTATGAAAAAACACAATCAAACACTGTATGAATAAACATAATCGAACACTGTATGAAAAAACATAATCAAACACTGTATGAATAAACATAATCAGACACTGTATGAATAAACACAATCAAACAGTGAATAAATAAACATAATCAAACACTGTATGAATAAACATAATCAAACACTGTATGAATAAACATAATCAAACACTGTATGAATAAACACAATCAAACAGTGAATAAATAAACATAATCAAACAGTGAATAAACATAATCAAACACTGTATGAATAAACATAATCAAACACTGTATGAATAAACACAATCAAACAGTGAATAAATAAACATAATCAAACAGTGAATAAACATAATCAAACACTGTATGAATAAACATAATCAAACACTGTATGAATAAACATAATCAAACACTGTATGAATAAACATAATCAAACACTGTATGAATAAACATAATCAAACACTGTATGAATAAACACAATCAAACAGTGAATAAACAAACATAATCAAACAGTGAATAAATAAACATATCAATTATGTCCATATAGAACTTACCAACATCTGCAGGTCTATCAAAATATCTTGAGGTTGACCAATTTCTTCAAATTTTTTGGACCAATCACCAGCTTGATATTTACACATGACCTCTTGAAGTAGTTCAAAATTGTTGATATCTAAGTCACCAATAAGTGAGAAGAGATTTGTCTTATTACACAACAGTTCATCAACCATTCTCTTATTATTGGTTATCATAGACAACTAAAATATACAAATCAAAATCACAATAAAAGATATGTGGATAATTGTAGCTCCACATAGATACAATTAGAGTTCACGTTGTACATGTACATGTAAGAAGGCTACTATGGAGTACAATGTTCCGAACGAGTGTTTTAAAATATCATTTTGAATGTCAAAGTAAAGAAATCTTCTCTAAAGAGAAAATTTAAGAAGAAATGAAAAAAGAAATGAAAAAACCTACTTGACTGGTTAAAGCTGGTATAGATAGAGCAGTTTGTGTTTCATATTCAGTCAAATATTCTACAGCTGATAGTAATGTGTTTGGATCTGATAGTAAACTTTGTAATGTAATACCTTTTTCTGTAAAAACATAACAATCATTCAATATATATTTATTATTATTACATCGTATTGGTCTAAGGTTTGTGACCCCTAAAAAATTCAAACTGCAGGTCTACAACCATCCTACCAAACAATGTAAGGATCTGGTTTGGATAGAAAGACGTACTACCTAAAAGTGCCCATCAACCCCTTGATATTGATAACTTTGGTTCTCCTGAAATTCAACAAGAATGTACACTGAAATTTTCGACTGTTGACACTTCTATGGTGCATGTTACAATGTTATATATTAGCATTTCTATTGAGAGTAGTATTAATGGCCTTGAAGAGAAAATAGAATTTCTAGATTTTTGGATTTTCAATGCCATATTTGAATGGAGACAACTCTTTGTATATCAGCTATTTCTTTTAGGATTGTTCACATGATGTTAGTTCCAGAATTTTGTTTGGATCAGATCAAATGCAATGCAAGATAGATGGTAATATAGTAAGATATCTCTTCATCATCAAAGTTGTTAAAGTTATCGAATACCTTCTAATCTAGTCAGCATGTTTACAGCAGGTCTAATAATAATACCACTTATCTGACCCAAGACAGCCATAGCATTTTGGGTATCATTTAACATTCTCTCAAATTCTGGACTAAAACCTTCTAAAACTCTGAAGATACTAGAATAGATATCATAATTGACCGTAACTAATTAGTTTCATAGCACTGCTTCCTAGCTAGATATTAAGAGCTTGCGAATATATATATTTTACAATCTTCGAACCAAATGATTTTTAGATGTCTTTATTGTAAATATAGTTGTTGTCATAATCTAAGATGCAAATCAGCTGTTTGGTGTGGAATCCCATGAGATCACCAAATATTAGCCTTCCTTGATTCTGATATAGTATACAAATTTAAAATCTTACAATTTTGGATTGGTAAAAATATTTTCAACAAACTTCAACCATTTATCAGCAGAAAAGGATTCCTGTAGTTTTTTGTCCACAGTAAATTTGGTTTGAGCCAGTTTTGTGATCAGTTCATTAAAACGATTCAAATTGTGTGTGTAGCCCTTAATATCCATTTGAACAGGAATAGACATATTCCATATATCTGTTAGCTAGAAGTATAAAATAAACATATATATATAATGTATAACTTAAATTTTAAACTAAAAAACAAATTTATTGTAGAGTAATGTAAAATAGATAAAAGTAGAGTAAGCTCAAACACCCACAGAGCACAAATATAAATAATGTTTTTAAACTTGGCCTCACCTCTTTAATGATATAATTTACGTCAATAACATGGTTTAGTGACATGGGTAATGTTTCTATTGAGCAGAAGATGGTTGCTAGATTCTTGTGAACAGTTAAAGGTTTGGTGTCATTGTTTAGGTATGTTGCTAGGTTATCAGAACTACATTGTTCATCTAAAAGAGTCATGTTACTCAGTACCATGGACAGCTAAAAATAAAAAATACCATATATATAGTTTAAATATTGCACATTTCAGAAGCAATCATCATGATTTCAATTAGCTATTGTCAATTGATTTAAATACAAGTAGAGAGGTATGTGTATATGTATGATTTTTCAATCATATAACTTTTCACAGTTATGTTATTCTTCTCAAACTTTTCTACAGTATTTTGATGTTGTACCATTAAACTTTGTAATTGAGCAACTTACTCTATAATAGTTGACAGGTCCTTGTGTTAAAGATACAGCACCATCTAATATAATATCTATCACAGCATCAACAACGTCAATCAATGGTTCAGTATTATTCAATAACACAACAATACTGATTTCTCCATCTAAATAGAAAACACCAATCAATGGTTCAGTATTATTCAATAATGCAGCAAACTGATTTCCCCATATAAATAGAAAACACCAATCAATGGTTCAGTATTATTCAATAATACAGCAAACTGATTTCCCCATCTAAATAGAAAACACCAATCAATGGTTCAGTATTATTCAATAATACAGCAAACTGATTTCCCCATATAAATAGAAAACACCAATCAATGGTTCAGTATTATTCAATAATACAGCAAACTGATTTCCCCATATAAATAGAAAACACCAATCAATGGTTCAGTATTATTCAATAATACAGCAAACTGATTTCCCCATATAAATAGAAAACACCAATCAATGGTTCAGTATTATTCAATAACACAACAATACTGATTTCTCCATCTAAATAGAAAACACCAATCAATGGTTCAGTATTATTCAATAATACAGCAAACTGATTTCCCCATATAAATAGAAAACACCAATCAATGGTTCAGTATTATTCAATAATACAGCAATACTGATTTCTCCATCTAAATAGAAAACATCAATCAATGGTTTTTCCTACCAAAAGACATAGGGGCTAACCACATACTCTCCACAATTTCTGTACTGTGTCATCAAAGCATAATATGAAATGATTTCCTACCTTTGATAGCTTCAAGTTTATCATTTATTATACCAAAGAATAGGTTCATAGAATTAATAGTTCTAGCATTGGACCCAAGTATATCTGAATTCAATTGAACTAAACCTTGTAGTTGACTTGCCCTAAAATATAAAATATATTTGACTCATTGAATATTGTTCTTTTACACAACCTTTCCCCACTGACATACCACAATAGAGAAATAAAATAAAAGAATTCTGTTGTTATATGGCCTAGAAAATAACAAAAATGTTGCCATAGTTTGTCTGTATTGATGAGCATATTATTATAATAGTATGACAAGTAATGGTAGACAATTCCCAATGTTAGAGTTGAGCATGTGCTTTATAAAAAGGTCTATTTAATAACAACTCATTATCCATCAGTAGTATTATGAAAAATGTATAATCCCAATGATTCGTTTCTGATGAAATGAAACTTAATGAAACTGAATCTTAAAGTGTGTACCAATATAATAGACAATTTTTAAATATTTGGCTATGCCAGGGACAATAATCTCTTAATATGGGGATTTAAAGTCTTTTCTGTAGGTCAAAATCAGAAATGATACACACCATTCCATAGACAAATTGGCCACCTTCTGTCCTAGGACACCTTCAAATTTCTTCAGAGTTTGCTGAAATCCTTTGATGTCCACCAGGTTATTGGGGTCTATAGGATTTTTACCATTGGTATAACTGGCAATAATTTCAGTTAGCAAATTTACCATTCTCTTTATATTCTGCTCAAACTCAGTAGCATTTAACATATTCTTCTTACCAGCCAATAATTCTCTCATTATCACTTTTAACTGAAATGAAACGGAGTTATACATCCTTCTGTCTTGCGACTGAATGTCCAATTATGTATCCCACTGGGTTAAAAAATAAAATGAAATTTTTCATATATGTGTTGTTTTTAAACTAACAAAATATTTTCACTGTTGAAATATTGCTCAATCCACCCATTGTAAAGTGATATAGAAATACCACTGTTAAAATAGTGCTCAATCCACCCATTGTAAAGTGATATAGAAATACCACTGTTAAAATAGTGCTCAATACACCCACTGTAAAGTGATATAGAAATACCACTGTTAAAATAGTGTTCAATACACCCATTGTAAAGTTATATAGAAATACCACTGTTAAAATAGTGCTCAATACACCCATTGTAAAGTGATATAGAAATACCACTGTTAAAATAGTGCTCAATACACCCATTGTAAAGTGATATAGAAATACCACTGTTAAAATAGTGATCAATACACCCATTGTAAAGTGATATAGAAATACCACTGTTAAAATAGTGCTCAATACACACATTGTAAAGTGATATAGAAATACCACTGTTAAAATAGTGCTCAATACACCCATTGTAAAGTGATATAAAAATACCACTGTTAAAATAGTGCTCAATACACCCATTGTAAAGTGATATAGAAATACCACGGTTAAAATAGTGCTCAATACACCCATTGTAAAGTGATATAGAAATACCACTGTTAAAATAGTGCTCAATACACCCACTGTAAAGTGATATAGAAATACCACTGTTAAAATAGTGTTCAATACATCAGTTGTAGAGCTATATAGAAATACCACGGTTAAAATAGTGCTCAATACACCCATTGTAAAGTGATATAGTAATACCACTGTTAAAATAGTGCTCAATACAACCATTGTAAAGAGATATAGAAATACCACTGTTAAAATAGTGCTCAATACACACATTGTAAAGAGATATAGAAATACCACTGTTAAAATAGTGCTCAATACACATATTGTAAAGTGATATAGAAATACCACTATTAAAATAGTGCTCAATACAAACATTGTAAAGAGATATAGAAATACCACTGTTATAATAGTGCTCAATCCACCCATTGTAAAGTGATTTAGAAATACCACTATTAAAATAGTGCTCAATACAAACATTGTAAAGTGATATAGAAATACCACTGTTAAAATAGTGCTCAATACACCCATTGTAAAGTGATATAGTAATACCACTGTTAAAATAGTGCTCAATACAACCATTGTAAAGAGATATAGAAATACCACTGTTAAAATAGTGCCCAATACATCAGTTGTAGAGCTATATAGAAATACCACTGTTAAAATAGTGCTCAATACACCCACTGTAAAGTGATATAGTAATACCACTGTTAAAATAGTGTTCAATACACCCATTGTAAAGTTATATAGAAATACCACTGTTAAATAGTGTTCAATACACCCATTGTAAAGTGATATAGAAATACCACTGTTAAATAGTGCTCAATACAACCATTGTAAAGAGATATAGAAATACC